CTGTCTCATGGTTTTGAGTATGGATGGTGACTGCTCCAAGACTTTGGTATGGTTGCAGACCGTTGTGAAAACCAACAAGTTGTGGGTTTTATTGAAAGTAATCCCTAGTTCTCCCTGGTTGCAGACAGTTGGCACTGGTAAAGTGCATGTTTTCTGGTAAGGAATGTTTGGAAAATGGTTCTTTGACAGGGTTGAAATATGCAGCATACTTTGACTACATTGTATGTGGGGAGTTGTGGATGGTTTTAGATAACATGAAGACTGGAATGCACTATCTCCGCGGGTGGAATACGGTTGTCTTTAACCGCCCCTGGGCACGTAAGTATATACCCGGCATTCCATAGTATATGAGATCAACTAGTTAATTGGCTGACAACAGTACAACACCCATATTCAATTGAAATTTATAACAAAGGCATTGCATTGTATGTTAATTATTATTATAATTCCAAGAAATTGGCAAACTGCCAGTTATTTACTAAATTACAGTAACATATTGTAATTGGATCTTGCAGATAAATCCAATCTGCAAAATCCACTCCAAGCCATTCCATTCAGATTATCTGCACTGCTGCAGATCCTGCATGTATAATCCACAGCTGCTTTGGATTCTGGCCCATTGGATCTGAATCCGCGCCATTGCGGATTCGGCGCGGTTTGGCGCGGATTTTGCGGCTTCGCTGTGCCACTCTAGCCGCGCTATCGCAGCGCTAGCGGCGATACGGCGCCAATTTAGACTATGTCAATCGTGGCGATACTGCGGCGATACTCCCGTGTATCCTTGTTACGGACATAGGGCGGAACGCATGTATATTAGACAAGCACCGAAGGTCTACTGGCACTAGGCCGAAGTAGTAATAGTGCGGTCGTAACCCGTTTAGGTATAGGGCCGCCCGGAGTGGGCACGTGACCCCGACATTCTTTTGGTGTGTGGTGAATGGTTGATTGGTTTATGGCCTATCGGCTGAGCTAACTATAGTAGTAGTAACTAGTGTGTGTGTGTGTGTGTGTCTATTTTACGTCGAGGTTCGGGACTTTCCACGCATCCTTGGGAACCTCGGAAGCGGAAAAGCCCTGGTCTCGGTGCGGGACATACGACGGGCAGATTGAGACTGCCTGTCACCTAGCTAAACTACCATCTATCATCTATATACAGGTAGCCCCCCGCGCGGGGGGCTGCTTGGGTTTTCATGACTGTCAAAGCAGCAAAATTGCATGTATTGGTTTGCAACAAAAAGCATGCATGTGAACAAGAAGGGCAGGGAAGGGGTACAATAAAAGGGGAAAGAAAGGGAAGTGAGAGAGAGAGGAAGGGAGACTGGAGGTAAGCCTGGATGTCCCTGGATTTGGTGAGTTTGATGGCCTAATGTCATCGGCAGATATCTATATAGAAGTTGGATTCTCCCAGCCAGCCTGCAAATGCAGTGTATCCAGCCTTTGTGCAGAGGATATCAGTCACAGGCCAGCGGCCCCATGGATGTGCTGCTGCTTTGCAGCCCTCCCTGCAATGATAGAAATGGGATGGATCCTTTCTGCAGCTGCAAGAGCATGTCAGCAGGGCATCATTGTGTTTAAAGTGTTCATGGTACTCTGCAAAGTCACCATGTCCGCTCCTGGCAGCAATGAGGCGGCCCAGGGCTGTTTGTGGAAGGAGGAGCTCT